ATTTCTATTGCTAAATGAAACATTTGTTAAGTGAATTTTACTCCATTTTGCAACCATTCTTGCCTCAGTTGTTAAGTGAATCTGGCTTCCCTATTAACTTTGCTTGTCAGAAGGTCGAAAAAGGGAACCACATTATCCCAGGACACTGCAACCGTCATAAATATGAGTCAGTTGCCAAGCATCAGAATTTTGATCACATGACCATAGGGATGCTGTAATGGTCATAAGTTTGAAAAATGGTCATAAGTCACTTTTCTTTCAGTGCTGTTGTAACTTTGAACGGTCACTAAATGAATGGTTGTAATTTGAGGACTACCTGTATTGTATTACCTTTGTTTTCTTACGTCACAGTTGTAGTTCTTCTGTTTGTTAGTCTTTGCATTTTGTGATTGTCTCCCGTTCTTTCGCTTCTGTTCCGCTGTCTCCAGATATTGCCACATCCACTATCCAGAGGTTTATTTATTTTTTCTTATTGATGATTGTGAAATGTGGATTGCTTGTTTATTTGAATTCTAAAGTCCCAGAGCAATTCAGCTTCTTCATTTTGTATGACTTTCTCTATTTTATGGTCCCACCAGTTCTTGTAGGCCAGTGATATTTCTGGAAGATCTTCCAATGCACCAATGTTGCTACTTTGTCATGTCGTTGTTTGTAATCAGTACGGGCGATCTTCTTGCAATGGCTAACAGCTAATTATTGTTAGAACATTCTTGTTCTATGTGAAGCTGCTTAACTGGTTTTCCATGTTTGGGGTGTTTTGTTTTCTTTTTTGGTTCCAAACAGGGTGGATTTGATTTAAATCAAGTTGATTTAAATCACAATTTAAATCATGATTTAAATCACTAGTAAAAAGGCTTGATTTAAATCAACTCGATTTAAATCATAATTTTTAAAGAGCAACTGTCATCTCTGCTACTCCTTTGACCCACTGTTGACTCACCGATAGTCCCAGTGTTGCAGAATATACAGCCTCATGCTACATAACTAAGCTCCATTTCATGCGGAATAAACTAAACTATTTATGTATCTTAAATAGAAAACTATCTTACGATAGATTTTTACCTCAAAAGTTTTTTATTAAAATAAATTCAATAAAAATCAAAAAAATCCAATTTAAATCAAAAAAATCCAATTTAAATTTAAAAAATCTGATTTTTTTTATTTTTTTAAAAAAAATCATTGATTTTTATCCACCCTGGTTCCAGAATGTGGTGAGTTGTCCTAGACCATCCTGGCCTTATCAAACCCTCTTGATCAAGACTTTTTCACACTGGATAAAACTTTTTCCACCGCTTGTCACTTCGGCTTTAATTCAGCCAATCATCTGGTACTTTGACCCAATATCTCTTCCTCAACCGAAAAAAAAACGGGGGGGAAAGGCATACAGGTAGTCCTTGACTTAGGAACAATCGATTAGTAAATGTTAGAAGTTACAACAGACCTCCCCCTCACCCCAATGTATTTACAACCCAGTAGCAAATCTCCGACAGGTAGGCGCCTCAATCAGTCACATGACTGCATTACACGCATTTGGAAACCAACCTGATTTATAGCCACTTGCACGTCATGTCATGCAATTTCAACAAGGCTTTTGTTGAAAACTGGCATTTTCTTCTTATTTTGGGTAAAAACAGCCCATAGCGAACAATGACCAGGGCATTTGATTTACGACAGCAGCATTTGCTCTACAACCATAATTATTATTATTTTTATTATTTATCAAATTTCTATACCGCCCTACTCCCGGAGGACTCAGGGCGGTGAACAGCCAAGATAAAATACAGATAATACAAATATTAAAAGTCCCTTAAAATTATTAAATATTTTGGCCGAAACACAGATTAAAACACCCAATTTATAAAATCAAACGAATTAAAAATTTAAAAGGGGAGAGTTAGGCCAGGCCAGCCTGCTGAAATAAAAAAGTTTTGAGAGCACGACGAAACGTGCGCAGGTCCGGGATCCTCCGTATCTCCGGGGGGAGCTCGTTCCAGATGGTAGGTGCCCCCACAGAGAAGGCTCTCCCCCTGGGGGCCGCCAGTCGACACTGTTTGGCCGACGGCACCCTGAGGAGCCCCTCTCTATAAAGGTCCTTCAACACAGGGATCCCCAATTTTCAGGCCATGGCCCGAAACCGAGTTGCAGGCTGTTCAGAATTGAACTGCGCGAGTGGTTGGCTCTCTCTTGTGTGTGCGAAGTTCCATTTGTGTAAGCAGGTGCCCCCGCTTGCACATATGAAGCTGCACGCGCTTTTATGCGCCTGCCTCTCACCCAGAACCATCCCCTGCCCCCCTGCTGTGCCATCAAGACGGAAAGATTGGGGACTGCTGCCTTAACAACTGTCGCGAAATTGCTAGCAAAATCGTGTCTAGTCGCATGGTGGTTTTATTATGGTGGGTTCCTCCCAGTTCGGTCCGGTTCGGCCGAGCCAGTAGCGGTGACGATATGACGTCACCGAACCGGTTCTCCCCCCCGCCCTCCCACCCCCCCCACCCATGTTATTCTTACCTTTTATTTGGTCCCACCCCCAATCTATTGCTGCCTCCTGAGTCCCAGCTGATGACCAGAGGGAAAAAAACTGTTTAAACTCTTGCCGGGGGGGGCTTCAAAGGGCCGCCCTACAGCTGATCAGTGTTAAAAGCAAACAAATGAGTCGGGTCGTAAGTGCGAGGACTGGTTGTAAGTGCGAGGACCTTCCAGAAATAACTTTGACCAGCTAGCCACGCCCACCTAGTCACATGACCTCCAAGCCACACCCACAAAATAAGCCACGCCCACAGAACCGGTAGTAAAAAAAATTAGAACCCACCCCTGATTACGACCATTATAACTTACAACTGTTCAGGTAGTCCTAGACTTAACGACCACGACTGAGCTCAAAGTTCGTTGCTAAGCAAGACAGTTACTAAGTGAATTACGTCCTATTTACAACCTTTCTTGGCAGTTGTTAAATTAGCAACACAGTTATTAAGCCAATCCGGCTACCCTGTTGACTTTGCCTGTCAGAAGGTCTCAAAAGGGAATGACTTGATCTTATGACACTGCAACCTTCATAAATAAGAGTCAGTTGCCCAGAGTCCGAATTTGGATCACGTGATCCTGGGGATGCTGCAGTGGTGCTAAGTATGAAAAACAATCATTAAGTCACTTTTCCTGTGTCGTTGTAATCTTGAAAGTCACTAAAAAAAATGATTGTAAGTTGTAACTATAATGGCCAATTTATAGTTGTAAGCCAAGTACTAACTGCAGTTCAAAGTTGAAAGTCTAAAACTTTTATCAGCTCTTCCTGCAGATAACCGAAAAATGGGAGATACTGTGAAAGAAAAATACAATGAAAGTTCTTTGTGGTTGTGCGTGGGAAAGCAAATCTCTACAGCTGTGTCATCTGGCTATGCGTTTTCTAAGAATTATCCTTGATTTTGGCTTACTTAGATAATGGCTGACATCTTATCTGGCCAGCTGGAGAAGCTAAGCAATGGAATTTGCTAACACAGGATGGGGTCCTGGATTAGATAAAGTCAGGAAGGATAAAGCAATCAAAGGCCAGGAAGGGAAAATCCATTTTAAGTCCAGCCTTAAAATAAATGTTTGTTATAAAATGCATGCATTTGGAACTCTAAGAAGAAATGTTTTTGTTTCTGAATATCTATTCATCCGCATGGTGAGATGGGGCGTATTTGCAAATAATGAACCCCAGATTCTCAGTTTTTATATAATTTGAACTGCAAATGTCCTTGTGTGGGTTTACAAGTTATTGCACTCGGAAAGTTATCTAAATAACCAGCACTGTGATCTATTTAAACAAGATCTAAAACAACAGCGAGAAACTGATTTGAAAGTTGCTTTTCAGAATTCAGATTCGGTTTTCAAAACTGAAGGATTTTAAGGGGGGTATTTTGAAGTTTCTTTCTATAATTTGAGAGCCAGTTTGATGTACTGGTAAAGTTGCTGGCTTATCTAGAGAATCTAGAGCAGGGGTCAGCAACCTGCAGCTCTGGAGCCGCATGTGGCTCTTTCACCCCTCTGCTGCGACTCCTTGTCACTCAAAATATGCATCACAGCTGCCAATGTGTAACATCTGCCAGCACACGATTTATTGAGTTTTTCAACCCCGGGTAGACTAACCATGGATAAATCCAAGAAAAGAAAAGTTTCAAAAGAAAACAGAACATTTAATTCAACTACATATGCTAGTTTTGTGGTCACTCAAGAAACAGTCAGACACGGGAAGGGTTTTGTGGCTCCCGGTGTTTTCTTTTTTTCTGTGGGAAACAGGTCCAAATGGCTGTTTGAATGTTTAAGGTTGCAGACCCCTGATCTAGAGAAATAGATACATGATAGGTGTGTGTGTGTGTGTGTGTGTGTATGTGTGTGTGTGTGTGTGAGAGAGAGAGAGAGAGAGAGAATAGATAAATGATAGATGATGGAGAGCTATAGATAGAAAGAAAAGATATAGATGGATAAATAATAAATAAATGATAGATGATCAATAAAGAGATGAGAGAGGGAGAGAATAGATAAATGATAGATGATGGAGAAATATAGATAGAAAGAAAAGATATAGATGGATAAATAATAAATAAATGATAGATGATCAGTAAAGGGATGAGAGAGAGAGAGAGAGAGAATAGATAAATGATAGATGATGGAGAGATATAGATAGAAATAAAAGATATAGATGGATAAATAATAAATGATAGATGATCAATAAAGGGATGAGAGAGAGAATAGATAAATGATAGATGATGGAGAGATATAGATAGAAAGAAAAGATATAGATGGATAAATAATAAATAAATGATAGATGATAGATGATCAATAGAGGGATGATAGATAGATAGATAGATAGATAGATAGATAGATAGATAGATAGATAGATAGATAAAAGTTCCCTCCCAACCCTCTGATGCTATGTGGTTGCTGCAGATAACTCTAACCATCTAACAATAACCAGGTTTATTGCCTGTCTCTGATGACAAATGTTGGGTTTGCTCCTACAGTCTCCATTGAAGAAATCCAAGATGTCAGGCCAGGTCATAAGACCGAAGGGATGGAAAAATATGCTAAGGATGTCCCTGAAGTTCGTTGCTTCTCTATCATCTTCAAAGATCAGAAGAAAAACTTGGACCTCATCGCTGGATCTGAAACGGATGCAAATCACTGGGTGTTTGGCTTGGGAAAAATCATTGCAAAAAGCAATTCAATGAGCCAGAGGCAGAAATTACAACAGTATCCTTTTTTTAAAAAAAAAGTCTGTACATTTTAGAAGAATTTCCGGGGAAGGGATGAGCTTTATTGTATATTTTATACTTTATGCTAACTTTCCTTGAAAGAATATGGGACTGTCTTTCTGTACCTAAATTCTCTATAACCCCTTTTCAAACTTTAAGATGTGTGGACTTCAACGCCCAGAATTCCCTAGCCTGAGTGGTCCTTGCAAAGAATTCTGGGAGTTGAAGTCCACACATCTTAAAGTTGCCAAGATTGAAAAAACACTGCCTTTCTCAATAGTGGCAATTAGATGGATGGACTTCAACTCCCAGAATTCTCAGCAAGGGTCATTCTGCCTGCAGGATTCCAGCTCTTATTTTACATGTGTAGAAGTTGGGAAATCTCAGGTGTAATGCAAGCCAACATAACAGGTGTAGAGTCACATAGTCACATGATCCGTGTTTGTGACCTTCTGTCAAGCCAAGTCAATGGGGAAGCATGGTTCACTTAACAACCATGTTGCTAACTTAACAATAGCAATGATTCACTTAACTTGTGGCAAGAAAGATCGTAAAATGGTGCAAAACTCACTTATTGTCTTGCTTAGCAATGAAAAGTGTTGGCTCGATTGTAAATCGAGCAAAAATAGGCAAAAAACGTTTTGAGCAAGTGGCACTTGTGAAATCTTAACTTCTAATTAAGCCCATTTTGGGGAGGAAAAATACCCTTCCCAACACTTGCCAGCATTCCACTTAAGATCGTCTAAATTTACTTTCTCTTTGAACCAAGCTTGCAACTTCGCGATTTAGCCTCATCCAAGTCTGTTGAAGCCCTTAATTTCCAAACTGAGCCTTGACCAAGGTTACTATGACTATATTTATCTCCCGGTCAAAGTTTTCTCTAAGGTTATAATTACTTGGGTTATATTTAACTTGGTGTGTTTGTTTAGAGGAGGGTGAAGGAGCCAGTGGAACACAAGAATTTGTTCTACACACTTTGATGAAATGATGGAATTTGAAATCATTTGGATTGCACCAAGTCGGGAAAAGCTGATACATCTACAGTACAGGTAGTCCTTGACTTATGACCATAACGGAGCCCAACATTTTTATTGCCAAGGGAGAAATTCGTTAGGTGAATTTTGCTGCATTTTATGAGCTTTCTTGCCGCAATTGTTAAGTGAAATCCTGCAGTTGTTAGCAGCATAGTTGTTAAGTGAATCTGGCTTTGCCATTGTCTTTACAGGTTGTCCTCAACTTGCAACAGTTCACTTAGTGACTGTTTGAAGTTTCAACATCACTTTTTCACACTTATGGCCATTGCAACATCCCCATGATTATGTGATTTACATTCGGATACTTGACAGCTGACTCATATTTATGACAGTGTCCCGTGGTCATGTGATCACGTTTTGCAATTTCTGACAAGCAAAGTCAATGGGGAAGCCAGATTCACTTAACAACCATGTTAATTTACTTAACTTTGGCAAGTAAAATGGGGCAAAACCAGTGGTGAAGTGTAAAATTTGTTACTACCGGTTCTGTGGGCCTGGTTGGGGGGGTAATGTGACTGGATAGGCATGGCCAACTTTTTTTTTTTTTTACTTTTAAAAGCATTTTGTAAAATGCTTTAAAATGCTCTTCGGCCGAAGAGGTTGTAGAAAAATGCTTTTAAAAGCCTCTGACGATTAGGCAACTCAGCTGGGATCGTCAGAGGCTTTTAAAAGCATTTTTTCCTACAACCCAAAGAGGTTGTAGAAAAAATGCTTTTAAAAGCCTCTGACGATCCCAGCTGAGCCACAGGATCATCAGAGGCTTTTTTTAATTATTTTTTTTACTTTTAAAAGCATTTTTTCGGCCGAAGAGGTTGTAGAAAAAATTTTAATTTTTTTAAAAGTTTTTTAAAAAGCCTCTGATGATTGTGCGGCTCATCTGGGAATGTGGGGAGGGGGCAGGCAGGGATTTTTGGTACCGGTCCTCCGAACCACCCGCTGCCATCGCTACCGGATCAGGCGATCCGATCCGAACCGGGAGCATTTCACCCCGGGGCAAAACTCATTTAACAACTTTCTTACTTAGCAACATAAATTTTGGGCTCAATTGTGGTCGTATGTTGAGGACTACCTGTACTTGTCAGAAGATTGCAAAAGTTGATCACATGTGACTCTACACCAGTTCTGTTTGCTAACATTAAACCTTTCCCAATACATCTCCCCAGAAGATGACTCCAGGACATTGCAACTGTCATAAATATGAGTCAGTTGCCAAGTGTCTGAATTTCGATCACGTAACCTGTAAAGACCATGGGGATGCTGTAACCATCATTCAGTATGACAAAGGGTCATAAGTCTTTTTTTTTCAATGCCATTCTAACTTCAGGTCGTCACTAAATGAACTGTTAAATTGAGGGCTACATGTAGACCTAACCTGAAATACGTAACAGAGACATGCTGTGATGTCATTTCAGAGGTTTTATGTTAGGTATTGCCTCCTAAAGACTACGTTGATTGTCCATCCTTGGTTCTGGGGGGGGGGGAGAAATTATCCCCCTCAGAACGGGTTCGCAGTTTGGGTGTCCTCCTAGACTCACAGCTAAGATTAGAGCAACATCTGACAGCTGTGGCTAGCGGGACCTTTGCACAGGTTCACCTGGTGCACCAATTGCGACCCTACTTGGATCGGGAGGCTCTCCTCACAGTCACTCATGCCCTTGTCACCTCATGGTTAGATTATTGCAACACGCTCTACATGGGGCTACCCTTGAAAAGTGTTCGGAGACTACAGTTGGTCCAGAACGCAGCCGCGCGAACTATCGTGGGTGCACCTAGATACACCCACATTACACCAATTCTCCGCGAGCTGCACTGGCTCCCTATTGGTCTCCGGGCACAATTCAAGGTGTTGGTTATTACCTTTAAAGCCCTACATGGCTCAGGGCCAGGCTATCTTCAAGACGCCTTCTACCGCATAGCTCCCACCGACCAGTAAGATCCCACAGAGTTGGTCTCCTCTGGGTCCCGTCAGCCAAACAATGCCGGCTGGCGGGCCCATGGGGAAGGGCCTTCTCTGTGGCTGCCCCAGCTCTCTGGAACCAGTTACCTCCTGAGGTCCGGACCATCCCCACCTTATTGGCCTTCCGAAAAGCGGTGAAGACCTGGCTTTTCCGGCAGGCCTGGGGCCGTTGATCTTGCTCTTGCGATCCAGAGATCCGGCCGTGAATGAGTTTTAATGTTTTTAATGTTTTTAATTTTTAAATGTGTTTTATAATGATTTTAAATGCATTGTGAGCCGCCCTGAGTCTTCGGAGAGGGGCGGCATACAAATTGAATAAATAAATAAATAAATAAAAATAGGGCCGTGATGGTGAACCTATGGCACACGCGCCGGAAGTGGCACACAGAGCCATCTCTCTGGGCATGTGAGCTGTCGCCCGTTGCTTTTCCTGGTCCTGGTGCAATGGCCAGCTGGTGCCCAGAAGCAGTTATATCAGTGCGGTTGATGTGCCCCACTTCTAGTTTTTACTAAGGTCAGGGTTTCCCAATTTTAGCAAACTTAAAAGGCGTGGACTTCAACTCCCAGAATTCCCCAGCCAGCATAGGTGGCTTCAGTTGAAGTAGACTGAACTAAGATAAAGTCTCATGAGAAAATTGTTTCGAAACTAAATCCTTTCTTCACACATACCTCCCATTTCCTATTTTCGCAACATCCTAATTATACCATAGCATTGCCTCATCTTGGTATCTTCTTGTAATGTCTGTTTTTTTGCTAGGACTAACCTTTTTCCCATAATCCTAAAGATTTGAAGGCCACCAGGATCATGAACTTTAGCCTCTAAATATTTAATTTTAAATACTGGGTATGACATCTCCTTCCCATGTAGACTCCTTAATAATCATTTCAACAGCTGGATTCATGCTTGCCTGCGGAAAGCAGATAAAAACAAAGATAACAAGATGAGCTTTAAGGAACTCAAAAGTTTCATGAAGGAAGTCAACATTCAGATGGATGACAGCTATGCCAGGCAGATCTTTGAGGTAACGAAAAAGGTTTTTTAATTTTTGGTTTCTTCTTCACTTTAGGACTCTTCTGACTTTAAATATGGGGAAAACAGGTTTGCTACTAAGAAGCTGGCAGGGAAGGTAACGGATGTGATCATGTGTCTGCGGGACACTCTGATGTCATAAGTGCAAAACAGTTTTCAAGTGCTGGGATTACAATCGTATAATCTTGGGATGCTGTACTTCACAAACATGTCACTTAATGACAGAATAGCTGGTCCTGATTACTGTCGTTAAGTGACTACCTATGCTATCAAATACAGATAGTCGTCAAATTACAACTACAATGGAGCCCAAAAGTTATTAAGTGAATTTTGCCTCATGTTACGCTCTTTCTTGCCACAGTTGTTAAGTGAGTTAATGCAGTTCTTAGGTTAGTAAGAGTGTTATTAAGTGAATCTGGCTCCTCCAGGGGTGGGTTCTAAATTTTTTTACTACCGGTTCTGTGGGCGTGGCTTATTTTGTGGGTGTGGCTTGGAGGTCATGTGACTAGGTGGGCGTGGCTAGCTGGTCAGAGTCATTTCTGGAAGGTCCTCGCATTTATGACCAGTCCTCGCACTTATGACCTGACTCATTTGTTTGCTTTTAACACTGATCAGCTGTAGGGCGGCCCTTTGAAGCCCTGCAGCAAGAGTTTAAACAGTTTTTTTCCCTCTAGTCATCAGCTGGGACTCAGCAGGCAGCAATAGATTGGGGGTGGGACCAAATAAAAGGTAAGAATAACGTGGGGGGGTTGGGAGGGTGGGGGGGGAGAACCGGTTCGGTGACATCATATTGTCACCGCTACCGGCTTGGCCGAACCGGACCGAACTGGGAGGAACCCACCACTGGGCTCCTCCAATGACTTTTGCTGGTCAGAAGGTCACAAAGGGAGACCACAAGAACACAGCAACGGTCATAAGTATGAGTCTGAGTATTGATCACGTGACCATGGAGGATGCTGCAGTGGTCATTAAGTGTGAACAATTGTCATAACAACTTTTTTTAGTGCTGTTGTAACTTCCAACGGTTGTAAGCTGAGGAGTACCTGTATCAATAGCTATAAGTGCAACGTAGCACATTGATATTTTGATAGTACAGATAGTCCTCACTTAATGATGGGAAGGATGGGATAGAACTGGGCCCCAAACTGCTTTGCAAGGACCCCCAGAGGATGGTGGGTCAGATTTTCTTTCAGCTCTAGTGATTACAAAATGTGTCTTGGATTTGTCCCAAAGGTGATTTTTTTTCAAAACGCAACTGGACTTTGTTTTTCCTTGAAGAAAAACCAAGAAGCTTCAGAACTGAAGAAGCTTCTTGGATGAGGAGTGAAATGTCTTCAAAGAAAAGCAAAGGAAATCCAGTTTCCTTTTGAAAAAGCACCTGTTTAGGACAACCTGGATAACTGAGAATCTCCATAGACTTGGGTTCGGTTTGTGCAGAGAAAGGGGAAAAAAAGAGTTTTTAATTGTTAGTTCTAAATTTAGACTCCTGTTTCCCCCCAAAAAGGGACGCAGTGGCTCAGTGGCTAAGTCGCCACCTCCTGTTTAAGGAGAGCATGGGGTGGTTTATGTCTTCACCAAAAGATAATCTCTTTCATTTTGGCTAAAACAAAAGGCCATGCCTACCTTTGGAGATATAGGGACTCAGTGGCTAAGATGCTGAGCTTGTCGATCGAAAGGTCGCCAGTTCAGCGGTTCGAATCCCTAGTGCCGCATAACGGGGTGAGCTCCCATTACTTGTCCCAGCTTCTGCCAACCTAGCAGTTCGAAAGCACGTAAAAAATGCAAGTAGAAAAATAGGGACCACCTTTGGTGGGAAGGTCACAGCGTTCCGTGTGCCTTTGGCGTTTAGTCATCCTGGCCACATGACCACGGAGACATCTTCGGACAGTGCTGGCTCTTTGGCTTTGAAATGGAGATGAGCACTGCCCCCTAGAGTCGGGAACAACTAGCACATATGTGCGTGGGGAACCTTTACCTTTACTTTCCCCAAAAAGGAGAGTCCAGAGCACTTTACGGCCAGAAGAATTTGTGAATTTCTTATTTCAGCTTATCTCCTTGGCCAGAGTGATGCTTCGTTTAATAAGTCGGCAAAGTTGACCGTTGTCCAATGATTGCCCTATTTTGCATTGTCCAGCCCTGGTTTAGGTTGCGTCGTATAAAGAAGAAGTCCTTTTATTTCTTCCCTCTACATCCACAGCAATGTGACAAATCCCAGACCAACACCTTGGAAGACGAAGAGATAGAGGTGTTCTACAAGATATTGACGGAACGCAAGGAGATTGACGGCATCTTCTCCAATCATGCAGAGGAGAAGCCGGTGATGTCCCTGGACCACCTGGTGCGATTCCTCCAACAGGAACAGCATGAGGAGAATGCTGGCCCTGAATTGGCCCTCTCTCTCATTGAGCAATATGAACCCAACGAAACAGGTAATCGGGAATACCTACAGGTGGGCATCCAGTTTTGGTCACCACACTATAAAAAAGATGTTGAGACTCTAGAAAGAGTGCAGAGAAGAGCAACCAGGATGATGAGGGGACCGGAGGCTAAAACGTACGATGAACGGTTGCAGGAACTGGGCATGGCTAGTCTAGTGAAGAGAAGGATCAGGGGAGACAGGATAGAAGTGTTCCAATATTTGAGGGGCTGCCACAGAGAGGAGGGGGGTCAAGCTGTTTTCCAAAGCACCTGAAGCCAGACAAGGAATAATGGATGGAAGATGATCAAGGAGAGATTCAACCTGGAAATACGGAGAAATTTTCTGACTGTGAGAGCAGTCAACCCACGGAACAGAAGTTGCCTTCAGAAGTTGTGGGAGCTTCATCACTGGAGGCTTTCAAGAAGAGACTGGACTGCCATCTGTCAGAAATGGTGTTGCGTCTCCTGCTTGGGCAGGGGGTTGGACTAGATGACCCACAAGGTCCCTTCTAACTCTGTTAATCTGTTAAACTCTGTGGAGAAGCAGGAAACCGGAAATACGGTAGTCTGATTAGTGACACAATTGGGACCAGAATTTCCATTGCTAAGCAAGACAGTTGTGGAGTTGCACCCATGGCTGATAAGCTAATCACAGCAGTTGTTAACTGAATTATAGATAGTCCTTAACTTACAACAGTTTGTTTAGTGACTGTTCAAAGTTACAACAGCGCTGGAAAGAGTGACTTACGACCTTTTTTCACAGTTATGATGCCTTTGAGGCATTCCCATGACCACATGATTAAAATTCGGAAGGTTGGCAACTGGTTCGTATTTATGACGGTTGCAGTGTCCTGGGGTCACATGATCCCCTTTTGCAACCATCCGACAAGCAAAGCCAATGCAGAAGCCAGTTCTACTTAACAACCGTGTTACTGACTTAACAACTGCAGTGATTCACTTAACAACTGTGGCAAGAAAAGTTGTAAAATGGGGCAAAACCCACTTAACAAATGTCTCACTTGGCAACATAAATTTTGGACTAAATTGTGGTGGTAAGTCGAGGACTACTTATACACAGTCATTAAGTGAATCCGGTTTCCCACATTGATTTTGCTTGTTGGAAACTGGCTAAGAGTGTCGATTCACATGAACCCGGGACACTGAAACGATTGCAAACACATGGTGTTTGCCAAGTGTCCAAATTTTGGTGACATAACTGTGGGGATGCTGTGACAGTTGTAAATGTGAGGACTAACCAATTGTAAATCACTTTTTTCAATGCCGTTATAACTTAAGTTACACTTAACAAAGTGTGCACTGTTTTCACTTAAAACAGGCGGTAAACAGATGGTTGTAAGTTGAGAACTAACTATAGCCATGACGGCGAACCTCTGGCACGCGTGCCACAGGTGGCACACGGAGCCATTTCTGAGGGCACGTGAGCCATCGCCCTAGATTAGCTCCACCGCCCATGCACTCGTGCCTCCCACCAGCTAGCTGATTTGCGGGTCTCTGCCACGCATGTGGGAGACACATGTGCATGCCCATCCTGCCCCTCCCCTCCCAGGAGTCTCCACGCTGCCCGTTTTGGATGCCAGGTAAGTACAGGGCTCGCGTGGAGCCTCCAGAGGGCGAAAAACGGGCCTACCGGAAGTCTAGAAACAAGCTGTTTCCGGCCTGTGGAGTCCTCCAGATAGCTGAGGGAGGCTGTTTTCGCCCTCCCCAGACTCCAGGAAAGCTTCCGGTGCCTGGGGAGGGCAAAAAACAGGCCCACCAGGCCTTCCAGAAGTCTGGAAACGGGCCGTTTCCGGCCTCAGGAGGCTTCAGGGAGGCCGGAAACAGGGCGGGGGGGTCGTGCGTGCATGCGCATGGGGTCCCAAAATGGGGCAGGGGGGTCGTGCGTGCATGCGCATGGGATGCTCGTGCATGCGCAGGGGGTGGGGCAGCATGGAGGGGTCATGCACACATGTTCGGAGGGCAGGGCACACGCGACCACCCTGCATTCCCCTCACTTTTGGCTTACAACGGCAAAAACGTTTGCCATCACTGAACTACAGGTTCCTCAGTTTGTCATCTTGTGTGAAAAAGAAGTTCATTTTAAGCAGAAATTGAAGCTACAGTTTTAAATTCTAAAAATCAGAATTAAATCCTCAGCCTTTTTTTTTTTTTTTTTAATTTGATTTATATGCAGCCCTTCTCCGGAGACTCAGGGCGGCTTACAATGCGTTAAGCAATAGCCTTCATCCTTTTGTATATTTATACAAAGTCAGCTTATTGCCCCCACAAACTGGGTCCTCATTTCACCTACCTTAGAAAGGATGGAAGGCTGAGTCAACCTTGAGCCTTGGAGAGATTCGAACCAGCAGTAAATTGCAGGCAGCTGTGTTAATAACAGGGTGCTTAGACCACTGTACCATCAAGGCTCAGTTGAGAAGACAGCCTTGCCCTGTCTTCCCTCATCATCTACTGTTCTCCAAATCTACACCTTTTTCTTTTTAAAAAATTAATATATTACTTTATTGTATTATTTTAAAACACAGGTAATATGTTACATTATTTGGGTGCAGTGATATTTATGCAGCACTGCCTTTATTAACCCTCTGATGTTTTAGATAACTTAAATCTTTAAAGACATTATGTCAATATTAACTATTTTTCTAAGCTGTTAATGTTGATAAGCATAAGGTTGCTTTAATCTTACATCTAGAGCTGAGTGCAGCATTGATTAACAACTGAAAAATGTACTAAATTATTTGTTATATAATAGAAGTTTCTGTCTTAAGCTTCTTAATGTTAAATTCTTCATTATTTAGTTGTTTGTATGAATAGGTAAGGTATGCAGTGGCTCAGTGGCTAAGATGCTGAGCTTGTCGATCGAAAGGTCGGCAGTTCAGCGGTTTGAATCCCTAGTGCCGCGTAACCGGGTGAGCTCCCGTTACTTTGTCCCAGCTTCTGCCAACCTAGCAGTTCGAAAGCACGTAAAAAATGCAAGTAGAAAAATGGGGATCCTCTTTGGTGGGAAGGTTCCATGCACCTTTGGCGTTGAATCATGCCGGCCACATGACCACGGAGACGTTTTTGGACAGCGCTGGCTCTTCGGCTTTGAAACGGAGATAAGCACCGCCAGTGTGGGATTCAGCCGGTTCGCACCATTTCGGGAGAACCGGTTGTTAACTTTCTGAGCAGTTTGGTGAACTGGTTGTTAGAAGAAATCATTAGGGCAGAGAACCGGTTGTTAAATTATTTGAATCCCACCACTGAGCACCGCCCCCTAGAGTCGGGAACGACTAGCACCTATTTGCAAGGGTTATCTTTACCTCTACCTTATGAATAGGTAATCCTTGACTTACAACCACAGGAACTGTTGCTCAGCATGACAGTTGTTGAGAGTTTTGCCCTATTTTACGATCTTCCTTGCCATAGTTGTTAAACGAATCTGGCTTCCACATTCTGCTTGTGGGAAGGTCGCCAAAGATAATCACATGATCTCGGGAGCTGTGCCATCATAAATATCAGTCGTTGCCAAGCATCTGATTTTGACCATGGGGATGCTACAACATCATAAGTGTGAAAAACCGTCGTAAATCACTTTTTTCAGTGCAATTGTAACGTCAAATGGCCACTAAACAAAAGGTTGTAAGTCAAAGACTACTTGTATTGGAAAAAAGGAAAACAGATGTTAAACAACCATGCTCCCAGAATATTATTTTCTTTTTTTTAATTCCAACTTTTTGCAGTTAAAAGACAAAAGGCGATGAGCAAAGATGGCTTCCAGATGTATTTGCTTTCCGCGGATGGGAATATTTTCAATAAAACTCACAGCCAAGTGTATCAGGATATGACCCAACCCCTCAGTCATTATTATATATCTTCTTCTCATAATACCTACCTCATGGAGGACCAGCTAAAAGGACCCAGCAGTACTGAGGCCTACATCAGGTACCAAACAATATTTAATAGATTTATTGCTTGCATTTTTTGCCTGCCTTTCATCCATCAACTTAACATATCAGGCTTAGGACTCCAATCTCTGATATTTCTAATATCTGATGTTAATTTGATATTGAGCCAGAGTGGCGCAGTGGTTAGAATGCAGTACTGCAGGCTGCTTCTGCTGACTGCCAGCAGTTCGAGTCTCAGTGGCTCTAAATTGACTCAGTCTTCCATCCTTCTGAAGTGGGTAAAATGAGGGCCCAGATTGTTTGGGGGCGATATGCTTAGCTGCTTAGAGAGGGCTGTAAAGCACTGTGAAGTGGCATATCAATCTAAGTGCTATTGCTGTTTCCATAGAATAATAGCCCTTTGAGGAAGATTGGGTGGAGATAGAGAGAGTGGGAGGGAGGGAGACAAACTCAGAGAGATACAGAGACGGAGATAGAAAGAAGAGGAAGGGAAGAGAGACAGTCAGAGAGAAGGGGAAAAGAGAGAGACAGACAAAGAGAGACAGACAGAGAGGCAGGGGGAAGAGAGAAAAAGATAGAGCGAGATCTACAGAGAGAGGGAGGGAGATACAGAGATTAAGAAAAAGGTGAGGAAAAAGACAAAGATGAGAGAGAGAGTCAAAGAAAAAGACAGAGACAAATAAAGAGAGTCAAAGAAAAAGATGGAGAGAAAGAGAGAGAGAGAGAAAGGAAGGAAGAAGGAAGGAAGAGACAGAGGGAGAGACTAGAGAAAATACAACCACATAGAGCAATGTTTCTCAACCTTGGAAGCTTGAAGATGGGTGGACTTCAACTCCCAGAATCCTCCAGCCAGCAGCGCTGGCTGGGGGATTCTGGGATTTGAAGTCCACCCATCTTCAAGCTTCCAAGGTTGAGAAACACTGACATAGAGCAAAGTAAAAAAAGGTCTTGTGGTTTTAATGGTGTTCCCAGAATGTTGCAAAAACCCTAATCCCAGAGATACCATGCAAATCTAACCGATGAACTTTGTATCTGGAGGGCCAGATCCAACACCTCTTTACACTGATCAATGTCTGCATTTGTGACCTGGAGTAGTGGTAGGGTTGTAAGAAGCCAGCTAACACACCACTGACCAGCATATGGTAGCAGTCTGGAAACAGCAGAGCCAAAAGTGTTATCCCTCTTAAAAAAAACACTTTCCAACCTTGTTGGCTGGTGCTTCTTCTTAACGTTACCTTCTGGGGGTGAGTAACTCCCTTTGAAACCCACACCCCAATTGCTTTTGATGTATCTCCCATAGAGCTTTGATGAAAGGTTGCCGATGTGTGGAACTCGATTGTTGGGATGGCCCGAACTCGGAGCCGGTCATCTACCACGGTTACACGTTTACGTCCAAGATCCTCTTCAGCGATGCCATCAAAGCCATCAAGAATTACGCTTTCAAAGTAAGGGGTAGCTGCCTTCTCTTCTAAGCCCGAGGACATGCCAAGTTTCTAAACATTTAAATACAAAAAGTGATTAAATATTTCAAATGAGGAAGTTAGACAGTGTTGTTCACCTCCTTAAATTGATTTGTGACCCATATATGGCCTATTACTTGCTGTTTATATGTACACTGTGAGCTTATGCCCCAGAGACAAATTCCTTGTGTGTCCAATCACATTTGGCCAATAAAAAATATTCTGTTCTATTCCATCCTAACTCCTATCCCTATCCAGCTCTTATCGTTATTCCTATTCCTATTCCTATTCCTATTCCTATTCCTATTCCTATTCCTACTAAACCATATTTAATCTTGCCCATCTGATCCATTCCATTCTGTTCCATATTCCAAATTCCATTCCATTCTATGCTCCATTCAGTGGTGGGATTCAACCAGTGTAACAGCCATATGCTGAGCGTGCGCTTAGCATGTGCATCCTTCGTTCGCACGGGCACCAAACACACGCGCGCAGTGCATTTGAAAACAGCTCTAAAATTTTCCTTTGCAACCCTAGTGAGTAAAACAGCTGAGGCATAGCAATCCACTGTGCTGCACCTATCAGCTGGTCTTCAAACAAAGGAAATATAGGTTGGTATAACGCAGGGGCAGGTGGGCCCAGCTGATTGTTGGAGCGAACCGGTTTGCTCTCAGCTGATTGTCGGAACTAACGTTTCCCCAGAACCTGTCAGAACTGGTTGAATCCCACCCCACCCCATTCCATTCTATTCCATTCCATTCCAGTGGTGAATTCATCAATATTATTTTTAAATTCCCTAGAGGCTGAGATTCTCTGCGTGTGATTAAGAACCATTGTTCCTCATGGAACTTAAAAGACCGAGAGGAAACGATTTATTACGAAACATGGACAGATTCTCCAGCTGGCTGGAGAACCTGTCCGAACCGGGTGAATCCCACCCCATTCCATTCCATTCTGTGTTCCATTCCATTCCAGTGGTGAATTCATCAATATTATTTTTAAATTCTCTGGAGGTTGAGATTCTCTGCGTGTGATTAAGAACCATTGTTCCTCATGGAACTTAAAAGACTGAGAGAAAATGATTTATTATGAAACATGGAATAGATGGTATAGCTGGCTGGAGAAAGAATCTAAAATCAATGTATAAATATATAAATGTAAGAGAAGATATTATAAAGCAGTGATAGCTAACCTTTTTGCCATCGCATGCCAAAAGCGGGTGGAGCGCAGGGGGTCAAACGCACACATGCCCATACCCATAATTTTATGTGCCGCACCCCCCACGCATGTGCGTGTGACCCCCCCCATCCTTCCCCGGCTTTTGGCACGTGATGGCACAGTGGGCCTGGTAGACCCGTTTTTCATTCTTCCCCAGGCTCCAGAGTCTTTCTAGGAGCCTGGGGAGGGCGAAAACAGCCTTCCCCACTCCCCCCCGGAGGCCCTCCGGAGGATGGAAATGGGCCATTTGCCGACTGGTGGGCCCAGAAGGCCTGAAAATCAGCTTGCTGGAGCTGAGCTCGCGTGCCCACTGATGTGGCTCCACATGCCACTGGTTCGCCATCACAGTTATAGAGGAATGAAATACTCAATGTGTAATAGATATGTATATATTCATTCATTCATTGTCATTTATTCATTTATTAAATTTTTATACTGCCCCTCTCCCGAAGGACTCCATACCCGGTGAAAGGTATGGAGGTCCGGGATCAGTCGTATCCCTGGGGGTAGCTCATTCCAGAGGGTGGGTGCCCCCACAGAGAAGGCTCTCCCCCTGGGGGTCGCCAGCCGACATTGCCTGACCGACGGCACCCTGAGGAGACCCTCTCTGTGGGAGCGTGTTGGCCGGTGGGAGGTTATCGATGGCAGAAGGTGGTCTCGTAAATAACCGGGCCCTAAGCCATGGAGCGCTTTGAAGATGAGGACCAATACCTTGAAGCGCACCCGGAAGACCACCGGAAGCCAATGCAGCTCGCGCAGGAGAGGTGTCACGTGGGAGCGCCGTATCGCCCCCATAAGCACCCGCGCGGCTGCATTCTGCACCAACTGGAGCCTCCGGGTGCTCCTCAAGGGGAGCCCCATGTAGAGAGCATTGCAGTAGTCCAGTAATGAATATATGAATTAGTAAGTATTATATAAAATGTATCTTGGTCAAAAGACAAAATAGATAATATCAAAGATGCCGGTAGTGGAAAGCTGTTAAAACGTAACAAAGATGTTAAAAGATGTAAATGCTGAATAAAAATTATTTTTTTAAAAAAGAACCATTGTTCCTCATTGTAGATTGTTCGGGCTTGTTTCTTTTCCACGCAGATCTCTCCGTATCCTGTCATCATATCTCTGGAAAATCACTGCAGCCTTGACCAGCAAGAGGCTATGGCACGCCACCTCCATTCCATTTTGAAGGACACATTGCTGGTAGTGCCAATCGATGCCAAAGCAACCAGCTTACCTTCTCCAGAGGTGAGATTTGGGTGGCCTTGGTGGGATTGTATTCACAGAGGGACAGAACCAAGACCACGTGAAGTGTTAATACCACTTTATAATGCCTTGGTAAGGCCACACTTGGGAGTATCACATCCAGTTTTGAATGGCACGATGTAAAAAAGATGCCAAGGCTCTAGAAAGAGTGCAGAGAAGAGACCGTTTTTTTTTTCACACTGCAGCATCCCTAGAGTTATATGATCAAAATTCACTTGCTTGGACAACTGACTCGTATTTATGACGGTTGCAGGCTAACCTGGGGTCATGTGATTCCCTTTTGCGACCTTCTGACAAGCAAAGTCAATGGGGAAGCCAGATTCGCTTAATGACCCACGTGACTAACTTAACAACTTGTAGTGATTCACTTAACCAAGAGCCTTGGTAGTACAGTGGTCTAAGGCACCCTGTTATTAAGCTGGTTATTAAGACCAGCTGCCTGCAATTACTGCAGGTTCCAATCTCGCCAAGGCTCAAGGTTGACTCAGCCTTCCATCCTTTCTAAGGTAGGTAAATTGAGGACCCAGTTTGTGGGGGCAATAAGATGACTTTGTATAAATATACAAAAGGATGAAGGCTATTGCTGAGCGCATTGTAAGCCGCCCTGAGTCTCCGGAGAAGGGCGGCATATAAATCAAATTAAAAAAAAAAAAAAAACCACCGTAGCAAGAAAGGTCATAAAATAAGGGGAGAACTACCTATAACCAATTTTTGTTATACCTCCTAGCAATTAAAAGGGAAAATTCTTGTGAAAGGGAAGAAGTTAATTCCAGAAACGGAAGAAGTTTCAGATGAAGATGAAGCCGCTGAAATGGAAGACGAGAGTGTGAAAAGTGAGGTAGAAAAGAAGAAATTGGTAAGTTTCCTGGCACATGATCTACACAGGTAGTCCTCGACTTATAACCATTTGTTTAATGACCGGCACTGAAAAAAATTTCAGAAACCAGTATTTATCTTCACTTTCTGGCAAAATTGCTCATTGGATATAGTGTCTTCGCTTAACGACTGCTGCAAAAAGTCCTAAAATTAGGTGTGGGCATGTGATGACCTTCTTAATGACTAACCCAAATTATTACTGTAAGTCTGGGCTGAATTATGTTTGTAAATTGAGAACTACCTGTAAACCTGAAAAAGGAAGAGATGTAGCTGGTTTAACAAGTTTCATTTGAAAGGTGAAACCTTAGTAAGGCCACACCTGGAATACTGCATCCAGTTTTTGGTCACCGCATTACAAAAAAGATGTTGAGACTTTGGAAAAAGGGCAGAGAAGAGCAACTAAGATGATTAAAGGCCTGGAGACTAAAACATAAGAAGAACGTTTGCAGGAATTGGGTATGTCTAGTCTAGAGAAAAGAAGGACTAGGGGTGACATGATAGAAGTCTTCCAGTATTTGAGGAGCTGCCATAAAGAGGAGGGGCTCAACTTAGTTTCCAAAGCACCAGAAGGCAAGAGAAGAAACAGTGGATGGAAACTAATCTAGGAGAGAAACAACCTGGAATTAAGGAGAAACTTCCTAACAGTGAGGACAATTAACTAGTGGAACACTTTGCCTCCAGAAGTTGTGGCTGCTCCATCACTGGAGGCATTTAAGAAGAAACTGGACAGCCACTTGTCTGAAATGGTATAGGGTTTTCTGCTTGAGCAGGGGGTTGGACTAGAAGACCTCCAAGGTCCCTTCCAACTCTATATTTTGATTTATTGATTCATGTGGCTGCTTTAATGAGTCAGTCCTTGACCAGGCTGCTTTAAAGAGGCATTTTGCATATTCCAAAGCAGTTTGTCCAAGTAATCTTTAGACAGGCTTGTGATGGGGCTGGTTGACCATTTCTCTCTCATCCTCTGTTAGAGCGACAAGCTAAAGCTAGCCAAGGAGCTGTCAGACACTGTCATCTACTGTAAAAGCGTCCATTTTCAAGGATTTGCTGAGCCACAGCCTCATGACGAGATGTGCTCCTTCAGTGAAGGCAAAATCCTTAAACTGGCTCAGGAATCAGGTAGGCAGCGTCGTCTTAAGGATTTTGGCAAGGATTTTGGAACATAATATACAGCATTCCTGATCCAATATTCATTTCAAATGGATTATTCTTAGTACAGGTAGTCCTCAACTTACAACTGGCTGTTTGGAGTTGTGACAGGATCCCTCCCCCCCCCCCAAAAAAAGAGACATGACACAAATTGGAAATCCCAATGGTATTCCCCACCCCCAGTCATGTCACAACATTTTAGGTGCTCGATGACATGACCGAGAGTTACAATATTTTACTGGAAACAGGTATTTAGTTTTAGTTTCTGGCAACAAATGTCCACTGGGTTTGCTTAACAAGTATAGTATTTGCTTTACGATTGCCAAAATATCTCTCCCTCCCTCCCTTCTTTCCTTCCTTCCTTCCTTCCCTCCCTCCCCATCCTTCCCTCCTTCTCCCTTCCTTCCCTTTCCCCTCCTTTTCCCCTTCCTTCCCTCTCCCTTTCCTTTTCTCCTCCTCTCCCCTCTCCTGCCCTACCATTCCCTCCCCTTCCCCTTCCTTTTCCCCCTTCTCCCTTCCCCTCCCTTCCATTCTTCCTGAACTAATAGCTATTGATCCATTGATTTGATCCAATAGGAGGGCTATAGAAAACCTCAGGGGGCTAAGAAAGAAAAATTCCGATTGCCCTCCAAATAGTCCTCATGGGGACCCACGAGTCCCGAAATCCTGAGAGGGGTTTTTAGTCCTCTACAAATAAGCACTTCTGGGCAGGAAATAGCTTGCAGTCTTTCAGAGGTGCTCCTGACACAGAGAGTTGCATTTTGTATGCACCTGTTTAAAGCCACATGGTAGCTATTATGATCTGGTCTGGCAATTAAATTCCTTAAATTATGGGTTGTTTGAGAGCACGGTGGCTCAGCAGTTAAAGACACTGAGCTTGTCAGCTGACTGGCCAGGTTTGAGACCCGAGCACCACATGACAGGATGAGTTCCCCTTACTTGCCTCAGCTGCTACTCACCTGGTAGTTTGAAAGCATGCAAATACGAGTAGATAAATAGGTACTGTGTTTCCCTGAAAATAAGACCCTGTCTTATATTTTTTTTGAAGCCTGAAATAAGCGCTTGGCCTTATTGCCATGGGCTCAAAAGTCTGATTGGGCTTATTATCAGGGGATGTCTTATTTTGGGGGGAAACAGGGTACCACCTGGGTGGGAAGGTAAAAATGTTCTGTATGGCTTTGATTTATAGCCATGCTGGCTACATGACCATGGAAGTATCATCGGACAAAGCTGGCTCCCTTAGTTAAGCCACGGAGATGACTGGACAGGGGAAACCTTTACCTTAGGGGTTGCTTATCCAAATTTCTCCTTCTTTTCTGACCCAGACTGAATATATGGGGTGTATATGGAATATATTAAGGAGAGAAGCAACTTAGAACTAAGGAGAAATTTCCTGACAGTTAGAACAATTAAACAGTAGAACAACTTGCCTCCAGAAGCTGTGAATGCTCCAACACTGGAAGTTTTTAAGAAGATGTTGGATAACCATTTGTCTGAAGTGGTGTAGGGTTTCCTGCCTAAGCAGGGGGTTGGACTAGAAGACCTCTAAGGTCCCTTCCAACTGTTATTCTATTCTATATGGAATATATATATATATGGGGTGTCCTGAGAGAGGGAAAATTTAAAAATTGTATCTATTTCTTATTTTTCACCCAAGGAATTGACCTAATGCGTCATAATGTCCAGCACCTAAGCAGGATCTATCCAGCAGGTTGGAGGACTGACTCGTCCAACTATAACCCTGTCGAGATGTGGAACATGGGTTGCCAGATAGGTAATTATATTGAGGATACAAGTAAACCCTTTTTGGGTTGTTAAATTATTGGGCTGGATCCAGAAGCAGCCATGCCTAGAACAGACCCATTGCAATCAGTGGGACTTAAACAGAGATGCTCCGGAATTTTTGGTGGATCTGTTTTAATCAAGTCAATAACATGGAATCAAACTGGCTGGTTAAAGGAAGAGTCTCAGCAACGTAAGTGGCAGCTGATGTTTTTGTCAAAATTATGAAAACTGCACCACACCTTTGCTTTGCAAGCTGCTTCATTTTTATACTTAAGTGTCACATCATACTTTATACAAGTAATCCTCAATTTATGACCACAATTGAGACTAGAACTTCCATCACTAAGCATAGTGGTCATTAAGTGAGACACACCCAGTTCTATGACTTTTTTTTTTAAGTGACTCACACAGACTTTAAGAAAATCAAGCTTGACTTTCAATGTTGGAAGCTGGCTGGGATTTATAATTTTATGCCAAATTCAGTGCCCAAATTGTAATTAAAATTCAAGGTGTTAGTTATCACCTTTAAAGTGCTCCATGGCTTAGGACCTGGGTACCTACGAGACCGTCTTTTGCCACCAATAGCTTCCCACCGACCAGTTCGTTCTCACAGGGAAGGACTACTCAGGGTAGCGTCAGTCAAATTATGCCGACTGGCGACTCCCAGGGGGAGGACCTTCTCTGTGGGGGCTCCAACCCTTTGGAATGAACTGCCCCCGGAGATACAGAATATCCCTGATCTCCGTGCTTTCCGCCGTGCCCTCAAGACCCTGATGTTCCAACAGGCGGGGCTAAACATACAAACATGTGAATGATTTTAAAATGTTATCTAATTCTGGGTTTTATTTAATTGGGCCAAACTATGTTATAATAATAATTTTAATTAGCAATTTTATGATGTTTGTGTATCTATATTTTTCTTGACTGTACACCGCCTTGAGTCCTACGGGAGAAAGGCGGTAAATAAAATAAAATAAAATAATAAAATAAAATAAAATAAAATAAAATTATAAAATTAAATTAAATTAAAATAAAATAAAATAAAATAAAATAATAAAATAAAATAAATAAAATAAAATAGTAAAATAATAAAATAAATAATAAAATAAAATAAAATAAAATAAAATAATAAAATAACAGAGTTGGAAGGGATCTTGGAGGTCTTATAGTCCAACCCCCTGCTTAGGCATTATTATGTGACTGCAGGGACAGGGGCAGTCATAGGTTTGAGGACCAGTTGTAAATCACGCTTTTCAGCCCCATCATAACATTGCATGACAGTTGCAGCATCTAAGGGTATTGTCATCGCCTTTTCTCGGTTGCCACCTTCCAACAAGCAAAGTCAGAGGAAAGTAGCATTTGCATAACAAGCACTTAACAAAAACAATTGCAGTGATTTACTTAATAACTATGGCAACAAAGATTTAAAATCGGGCACAACTCACTTAACCACTGTTTGAGAAGGGAAATTCTGTCCCAACTGAGGTTGTTAAGTTGAGGGCTACTTCTATTAGTGATCTTCTCTCTCACAAACTGTCTTTAAGGATTTATTAGCTGCTGATCTCAAAAGTGCTTTTTTCAAAAGTTAAGTGGACTTTCTTGTTTTTTTTTTTCCTTGAAGACATTTCGCTTCTTATCCAAGAAGCTTTATCAGTTCAGACTGATTCACCGTTCAGTCTGAACTGAAGAAGTTCCTTGAATGAGAAGCAAAACATCTTCAAGGAAAAAAACAGTTGCATCTTGAAAAAGTACCTTAGGGATAACCACAATCTGGATGACTGAGAATCTCCCTAGACAATAGCTGCTAATGAACTCAGCTAGAAAAATATATAGAGCCTTGGTAGTACAGTGGTCTAAGGCACCCTGTTATTAAGCTGGTTATTAAGACCAGCTGCCTGCAATTACTGCAGGTTCGAATCTCGCCAAGGCTCAAGGTTGACTCAGCCTTCCATCCTTTCTAAGGTAGGTAAATTGAGGACCCAGATTGTGGGGGCAATAAGCTGACTTTGTATAAATATACAAAAGAATGAAGGCTATTGCTTAGCGCATTGTAAGCCGCCCTGAGTCTCCGGAGAAGGGCGGCATATAAATCAAATTTAAAAAAAAAAAGAATACTATTGGAGTGATGATGATGATGATGAAGATGATGATGAATAGCCAAAACCACTGACTTGCCTTTGTCCTACATTTTCTCCCAGTTGCCTTGAATTTTCAGTCCAGGTGCTCAGAAATGGATATTCACCAGGGCCGATTCCAAGAAAACGGAGGCTGCGGCTATATCCTAAAGCCAGAATTTCTTCGGAATGAGCAGTCCAAATTCAACCCCAGATCCATCACGGAGGGGCCTTGGTACAGCCCTAAAAAATTCCAGGTTAAGGTAAGACGGGAGGAAGAAAACACATTTTCATAACTTCATGTTGTAGCACAGCTCTTCAGCATAGGACAACTTTGGCCTCCAATCTACAAAAGGCTTGCAAAAAAAATTAGGAGTGCATACAATTGTTCATAGTCCAAATATCTGTTTTATACAGTAGTGGCCGAAATTGTGGAAACCTTTTGGGGAAAAGTGTATTTTCTAAAATTAGAAACACCACTTTTTTTTTTTTTTTTTTTTGGGGAGTAGTACCATAAAATTATATATCAATGGAAAGATTCAAGAATGTAATGCAATAACTTTTATGAAGGATTTGCTATTAGAATAGCAGTTACAGTATAAAGAAGAAAAGTGAAACACATAGAAAAAACGAGATATACAAAAATTATCACCATGTCAGTTAATACTTAGTTGAGTAACCTTTAGCATGAATTACGGCCTTACAACGTCATCCCATGGTGTGAACCAAGTCTTTTAGTTCTGCAGCTGTTCTCATGGGAAACTAAGATTGAATGATGGCTTCTATTAACTGGGTTTTATTGCTGGGTTGCTTCTGACTAACAAGTTACTTTAGTTGGCTCCATAGATTTTCAATTGGGTGAAGATCTGGGCTATTCCCAGGCCATTCCAGCAGTGGAATAGGATTATTTTGAAACTCCCCCCCGCCAAAAAAAAAGTAGTGTTATTAGCTATCAAACCTCAAAAATACACTTTTCCCAAAAGGTTTCCACAATTTTGGCCACTACTGTATGTGAATGGCAGCCTCTTCTGGGTTAAAAAACAAAAGCCATTTATGAGTGGGAAAAGGGATGTTTTTCAACATTTTTTGAAGTCCCCAAGTCTGTAACCTTCTCTTGTTTTTCTGTTTCAAATCTTAATAGAAGTTTATAGAGTTTTTCTATTGCAGGTAATAATTCAGTCCTTGAGTTACGATCGTAATGGAGCCTGCTCATTACAGTCGTAAATCCTAATGGTTGTAAAACAGGGCTGGTGACATAACCAACCCAATTTTATGACATTTTGATGTGGGCGTTGCTGCCGTTGTTACATGAACCCATGATATGGTTTGGCTAAAAACTAGAAGAAATTGTCCGTTTTCAGCAAAACTATTATGAAACATGATCACATGACTGCAGGACATTGCAAACAGCGCTCATGTTGAGTGCCCAAAGTGTGGTCTTATCACCACCGGGGAGGATGACCATCAGGGCTTCAGACCCAGGTTGTAAGATCCCCTTTTTTCAGGTAGTTCATAACTCTGAAGGGTCGTAAGTCGAGGAAAACCTGTACATATTCGTCATTTGTACATAATTCCATTTCAAATTTTGTTTTGCAATTTCCAATTCCAGTTATTACTAGATCTGTATCAAAGCTTTTTTAACAACTGGGAATATGAAAACTACAGGTAGTCCTCGACTTACGACTACAATTGAGCCCAAAATATTCGTTGCTAAGTGAGACACTTGTTAAGTGAGCTTTGCCCAATTTTACGACCTTTCTTGCCAAAGTGGTTAAGTGAACCTGGCTTCCCCATTGATTTTGCTTGTCAGAAGGTCGCAAAAGGGAACTGTCATAAATATGGGTCAGTTGCCAGCTGTCTGAATTTTGATCATGTGACCATCGGGATAATGCAATGGTTGTAAGTGTGAAAAACAGTCATAAACGAACTGCTTTGACTGCCATCTTAACTTTGAATGGTTCATTAAATGAATGGTTGTAAGTTGAGGACTGAAAACCACATCCTTCTGTAGGGAAGAACTTCTGTAGGAAAGTCTGCTCTGAGAGCAAAACTGTTAAGGAATTCACAGAGCAACCCTTGAGTAGCAAAGGTGTGCACATGAAAGCGATTGAGAGTAGTCACGAATAAACACAGCCAACACAGATACACTGAGTTGTGTTTACTTTCAGGAAATAGTAATAAGGCACAGTACAATAAACAATCCAGGTCATACACAGATAAAGCAATAGATAGTAAAACAATAGTCCAGGGATAATCCAATAACAAAGTCTTCTTACCAGTTGTCGTAGTCATACACAATAAACAGTTCTTTCAGTTGCAAACAGTAGCAAACAGAGATATCCGAGCAAAAACAGCAAAGAGCAGTAAAGAGCACACAGCAAACAGCAAAGAGAAACAAACCATGTTTCAAGCTCCCTCTTAAGGACATTGGCTATAGAGGACACAATTAGGACACAATATGATGCAATATAGCAGTCTTAAAGCTATATTTATGGTTTATATATTGCCAACCCAACAAGTTAGATAATAATCATTTCCTAACAAAAACATACCTTTTTATACTTAAAACCTTTCCTAGTTTCAAGGCAACTTGTTTCACGCTCGAGATGAGCCATGTCAAAGCCGAAGTGAAGTATGATATATTTTTTTTCTGTACACACTTAATAGAACTGGGTATTCGAAGGTCGGGATTGGCTTAGGATCTCTGCAAAGAAATTGAGATCTTGCTTTTCTCTTTCGACTTTCTTCTTCTTGCAGATCATCTCTGGCCAACAACTGCCAAAAGTCAACAAAAGCAAAAATTCCATTGTGGACCCAAGAGTGATAGTAGAGATCTATGGTGTTCAGCGAGACAACGGAAAAAAACAGACCAAAGTAATCGATAATAATGGTAAGAGAAATGTCTGTGGAGATCCTCAGTCATCCAGGTCATGGTTTTCCCAAAAGTGCTTTTTAAAAAGACAACTGGGCATTCTTTGCTTTTCTTTGAAGACGTTTCGCTTCTCATCCGAAAAGCTTCTTCAGTTCTGACTGAATGGTGGAGGAAGGAAATGGCTTCAGCGACTCTCAGAAAGAGTACTAATGACCAGATGACTGCAAGGAATATAAGTCCTCCCATTCTCCACTATTCAGTCACCACTGAAGAAGCTTCTTGGATGAGAAGCGAAATGTCTTCAAAGAAAAACCAGAAAGTCCAGAACTGGAGAAGCTTCTTGGATGAGAAGCGAAAAGTCTTCAAGGAAAAAGAAGAAAGTCCAGCTGCCTCTTGAAAAAGAACCTTTGGGACAACTGTAAGAGGAGAGAGACCAAGGACAACAAGAAATCATAACCTAGGGAGTACAGATAGTCCTCCACTTAACGACTGTAACCGAGCCCAGAATTATTGTCAGAAATCATGCTGGTCATTAAGCAATTCATCACTTAACTGGCCCAATTATGAGTGTTATTTTATTAGAAACTGGCAAATAGTGATGTAAATAATGGTCATATGATCACAGCATACTGCAAATGATCATAAATGCAAGCTGTAGATTGCACGGGCCCAAAATGCAGTCACAGGATGATGAGTTGGGGTGGACATTCGGGAGTTAAAAACTGGGTTGTAAGTCCCATTCCCATGGTCCGTTGTAACTTTGAACGTTTGCTAAAAGCGACTGGTCATAAGTCGAGGCCTACCTATATTAATGCATCTATTTAAGGTTAAAAGTTGGGAATAACTTATTTCCATATTTTATGTATTGCTAAATGCAGCACCCTAGTTTTCTGTTTATCTTTGTGCTCCAGTGTTCCCACAACATGCTATCTTTCTTAATAAGTGGGTCATGGGAATGGGGTATTATGGTAGTTGGGTGTAAGAACGGGATGGCTGAAGAGAGTAGCGCTTGCAGCATTCCTTGGGAGACCCAGTTTGCTCTAGTGGTTAAGGCACCAGGCTAGAAGTGGGAAACTATGAATTCAAATCCTGCCCTAGACATGGAAGCCAACTGGAGCTTTGGCCCTGTCACCAGGAGACTGTGAGTTCTAGTCCCATCTTAGGCAGGAAAGCCAGCTGGATGACTTTGGACCAATCACCAGGCAACAGAGAGTTCTAGATCCATTTTAGGCATGAAAAACCAGCTGGGTAAGCTTGGGCCAATTCCCCTCTCTCTCTCTCTCAGCTCAACCAGTGGTGGGTTCCTCCCGGTTTGGTCCGGTTCAGCCGAGCCGGTAGCGGTGACGATATGACATCACCGAACCGGTTCTCCCCCCCGCCACGTTATTCTTACCTTTTATTTGGTCCCACCCCCAATCTATTGCTGCCTCCTGAGTTCCAACTGATGACTAGAGGGGAAAAAAACTGTTTAAACTCTTGCTTCAAAGGGCCATCCTACAACTGATCAGTGTTAAAAGAAAACAAATGAGTTGGGTCTTAAGTGCGAGGACTGGTCGTAAGTGCGAGGACCTTCCAGAAATAACTCTGACCAGCTAGCCACGCCCACCTAGTCACATGACCTCCAAGCCACACCCACAAAATAAGCCACGCCCACAGAACCGGTAGTAAAAAAAAATTAGAACCCACCCCTGAGCCCAACCCACCTCACAGAGTTGTTGTGGGGAAAATAGGAGAAACATAAGTTGGATATGTTTGCCACTTTGAGTTATTTGTAAAATATCTATATCTATCTATCTCTGTCTGTCTGTCTGTCTGTCTATCTACCTATTCTATCTATCTATCTATCTATCTATCACATAAATATATAAATAAAAATTGTAAAGGTGGGATAATAAATAAATAAATTCTTGGCACCGCTTCGCTTTTGCCCAGGTTTTAACCCAGCCTGGAATGAAACATTTGAGTTTGACATTGACGTACCGCAACTTGCCCTGGTCCGTTTTATGGTAGAAGATTTTGATGCCTCAACAAAAAATGATTTTATTGGGCAATTCACAGCCCCTTTCACAAGCCTGAAGCGAGGTGAGTATTTTTTTGTTTGTTCGCTTGTTTAGCTTTTTCATCCAGAACGCGACTGTCGGTTCAAAGGGTTGTTTGCCAGGCCAGTTGGTATCATGCAAAAGGTTTCAAAATATTAATTTACTTAATTTTTAATGAAGTTTATATGGGCATCCTATGTCACGGAAAATGGGTGGCATATGTCAATCTGATAAAACAGTAAATATAAAACAATTATTACCTAAAACCATTATATAATAATTGTTAAAAACATCAATATGTTATTTATTAATCAAATTTATATGGTTGCCTATCGTACGAAAAATGAAAGTGGGCAGGGAACAACAATCCAATAAAACAATAAAAGCAAAAACAATCATTAACTAAAACTGTTGTGTAGTAATGGTTTAAAAACATTAATTAAAATCTCTCATTCTTGGTTATAGGGGATTTTTTAATGGGGTAAGCTCAGGCACTATCAAATGCTAAGGAAACCAAGGTTGTTATTGTAATAACCAAAATCCAACACTCTATAAACAGTTTGTACATTACATTTATTTTAATGTGCACATTATCCACTTATTACAGGTAGTCCTCAATTTACAACGGTTCATTTAGTGACGTTTGAAGTTATAGCAGCCCTGAAAAAAGTGACTTATGACGGTTTTTCACACTTATGACTGTTGTATCATCCCCATGGTCACGTGATCAGATGTTTGGCAACTGGTTCATATTTATGACGGTTGCAGTGTCCTGGGGTCGTGTGATCCACTTCTGTAATCTTCTGACAAGCAAAGTCAGTGAGGAAGCCAGATTCATTTAACAACTATCTTACTCACTTAACAATGATACACTGATTCAATCAACAGCTATGGCAAGAAAGGATGTAAAACGGGGCAAAACCTAACAAATATTTCACTTAGCAACATAAATTTTGGACTCTTTATAACAGGGGTCTCCAACCTTGGCAACTTTTAAGACTAGTGGACTTCAACTCCCAGAATTCCTCAGCCAGCAAAAGCTGTACTTAATAGACCTGTGATGGCGAACCACGCGTGCCACAGGTGACACACGGAGCCATATCTGTGGGCACACGAGCATTACCCTAGGTCAGCTCCAGAGCGCATATGCGTGCCGGCCAACTGATTTTTGGGCCTTCTGGGCCCACCAGATGTCGGGAAATGGGCTGTTTCTGGCCTTCGGGGGGATAGGCTATTTTTGCCCTCCCCAGGCTCCAAGAAAGGCTCTGGAGCCTAGGGACGGTGAAAAACGGGCCTACCAAGCCCACCGGTAATCTTTTTGCCATCATGTGCCAAAAGCGGGGGGAGTGCGGGGGGGTGTCACACGTACATGCCCGGGGCCATTGAATTATGGGTGTGGGCACGCACGCGCATGACTCCCCGCGCTCCCCCCACTTTTGGCACGCGACGGCAAAAGAGTTAGCCATCACTGTAATAGACTCTTATCTCTAAGAGGCACCTTTGTCTTTCAATTGCAGGCAGTCCCAACTTACGATTGCAATTGTAACCAGAAATTCTGTTGCTAAAGAAGACCTTAAAGAGAGCCATGCCCAATTTTATGATCTTTTTGCCATGGTCGTTAAACGAATCATTACTGTTCTTAAATAAATCACACAGTTCTTTAGCAAATCCAACTTCCTTCTTTGACTTTGCTTGTTGGAAGCCGATTGGGAAGGTGATCACAAAATTGTGAGATTCCACAGCCGGTTGCCAAGTGCCCAAATTTTGATCATGTGACAAACCCTGGGGGATGCTGCGACCAAAATAAGCGTGAGGGAAGTTTTTCTCAGGGCCATTGCAACTTCAACCGGTCACTAAACGAATGGTTGTAAATTGAGGACTATTGATTTAATGGGGTGTAGTATCTGTACTCCATTAAATTGAAAGTTTACTGCAGAATTGGAGGGATGCTGCCGCGGAGGTCCTCTCAGAAGCTGAGAGAAAAGAATTTGGAGGCAAGTGAACCAATAAGATGGGAAATTAAGTGAAGGGTTTTAGGCTAAGACACTGAGCTTGTTGATCAGAAAGGTCGGCAGGTCGGTGGTTCAAATCCCTAGAACAGGTTTCCTGAGTGAGCAGGGGGTTGGACTAGATGACCTCCAAGGTCCCTTCCGACTCTGTGACTGTTAAAAAAGGCTTTTCAATAATTTCTTCTGCCCGCTTCTCCAATTTATGGTTTCTAGTTCTTCCTGTTCCCAAGTCTGCCCAGGATTTTTTGCCCATTGAGCAAGATTTTACCTCACAAGGTAAAGCTGGATGGGAACGATGGGTATTGTAATTAAGCAACTTGGGAGCATGGTTGTTAAGGTAGAGAAAGATTTCCAGCCAGAGTGAAAGTCCTTGTTTGGGAGCATGTCTCCCTCTGCTGTCCAGAAAATAGAATTGCAACAACAGTTTTTAAAAAATCGATTTACAAACCAATCCTCAAGCTTGTGACTGTCACAGCAACCCCACAGTTAACAACTTCCTTCCTTAGCCATGGAAATTCTGTTCGTATTTGTGCTTGTAAGTACTTGTGGTATGTAAGCTACCTGCAATTAGTTAAAAAAAATTTTTTTTTAAGTCAAAAAGTCCTTCTGATGATTCTGGGGAATATCCCAGCTATGGAAAGACATTTGGAGGGGGTGGAGGGTGGTAATTAATTATTTTCTGAATTATTCTGAGTTCATATTGAGGATATAAGTCAGTGTTTCTAAACCTTGGTCCCTTTAAAATGGCTGAGGGATTCTGAGAATTGCGGTTCCCACTGTCAGCACTTCAAGCTGCATTTACTCTAGTGCTGACATAAGAAGGAGAAGCAGAGGCGTCTGGAAAGGGACGTTTGACTTTTCACCGACTTATTTTCCCTGGAGATAATATCCCCTAGGAGATGGGATGGGAGGGGGGAAATTCCTTTGAGCTGGAGCAGTAGATTAGGGGTAGAGTGACTTGGAAGATGGCCAATGAGTGCAGAGGAGTGGAGAAAGGAAAGGGAGGGTTTTGGGTCTGGAAGTCAGTATTGGCTGCGATGGAGTCGGAGTTATAATGTCGTGCTTAATAAATGGGAGTTTTCCTTCAAAGACTTTGTTTGAAATGCAATTTATTTGAGACGACCTCAAAACCTGACACCCGCATCCTAAGGATGCCATAGTTGGAAAAACAACCAACTAATCCTATTAAGATGAGCAAAATAGTCATTTCAGAGGTAGTAATGGTAGTTTTCAGATCTTCCTTGCTGAATTAAAGGTGTGTGATTATTACTACGGAAGGAGTCAAACCTGTTTTTCATCCTTTGCTTCTAAATTGCTGGTTGTAGCCTCCCTTTCTGCAAAGTAATTTTCAAGCACAGAAAACAAAGGAATCTTGCACGATCTATTGCTGATGTTGCAATTGATTAGATCATTTTAATTTAGGTTGTCCGTCTGATTTTTAGCTTTTTTAAATGGGAGGGTTCTAGTTTTGTAAGCCATCTAGAATCCATTTGGGTTCAGTGCAGGGATGAAATCCAGCAGGTTCTAACAGGTTCTGGAGAACCGGTAGCGGAAATTTTGAGTAGTTCGGAGAACTAGCAAATACCATCTCTGGCTGGCCCCAGAATGGGGTGGGAATGGAGATTTTGCAATATCCTTCCCCCTGGAGTGGGGTGGGAATGGGGATTTTGCAGTATCCTTCCCCCTGGAGTGGGGTGGGAATGGGGATTTTGCAATATCCTTCCCCCTGGAGTGGGGTGGGAATGGGGATTTTGCAATATCCTTCCCCCTGGATTGGGGTGGGAATGGGGATTTTGCAGTATCCTTCCCCCTGGAGTGAGGTGGAAATGGGGATTTTGCAATATCCTTCCCCCTGGAGTGGGGTGGGAATGTGGATTTTGCAGTATCCTTCCCCTGCCATGCCCACAGAACCGGTAGGGAAAATTTTTGAATTCCCCCCCCCCCCGGTTCAGTGGTTTAATAAATGATGATGGGGAGAAATGTGACAATGATGACATCTTCCCCATTGGGACAACCTGGATACCTAGCGATCTCTTGAAAAAAGTGAGCTGATATACTTAGTTTACCAGCGAGTAAACGATGCCAAAGAAAACAAAAATTAATGCTTCTTTTTTGTTTTTCTCCCCTTCTCAAGGCTACCGCCACATTCACCTTTTGACAAAGAGCGGAGATCAGTACCCATCTGCCACACTGTTTGTGCATATCAACATTTGGGACAATTGTTAAAAAGAAGAAACAAACTTTAGGGAATGCGCAAGCAATCTCTCTCTCTCTCTTTTTTTTTTTTACATCTCCAGACAGACTTTTGGTCCCCACAGCCTGGAAAAGAAAAACTCAGCTCTTCGGAGGCAGTGTGATGTGGGCCATTCACGCCTTAATGCCAGTTGAATATTTACATTGGAAAACCAGCTAGAAAATATTACCTTTTAAAAGTTGTGCTTTTAACTTTTAATCCTAGTTGCTTTTCGAGGGCGAGAGAAGCAGCCCAATAACTCTCAGGAGCTCTTACTGATGTTGTAGGAGTAGTAATAGTAATAAAGAGTAAATATGTTTTTTTTAAAGGTTTTATTTTAATGCAATCTGAATTAGGTTTGCACTTCCCCAAATTTTATGTTTTCTAGTATGACAGTGCAGAGGTCAGTAGGAAAAGCCTGCACCCCCTGTGTTAAATGAAGGACAATTGCTTTATAAAAGGTGGGTGTCAGAAGGAAGAAACTGTTAGGGAAAATACGAAGAAAAACAAAAGCGTGTACAGCTAGTCCTTGACTTAGCAATATTTATTTAGCAATCAAAGTTACAACTGCACTGAAAAAAATGATTGATGTCCACTCCTCTTACTTATGGCCATCGGAACATTCCCTACCGTCACATAATCAAAATTTGGGAGCTTGGCAACTGGCTCATATTTGTGACAGTGCAGATTTTCAGGATTACATAATCACATTTTGGGACTTTCTCAGCTGGCTTCTGTCAAGCAGAGTCAATGGCGGAAGCTGGATTCACTTAACGTCTGATACACTTAACAACCATCAGTGATTTGCTTTACAACCATGTCAAAAAAAAAAGTTATAAAATCAGGGGCAACTCACTTAATAATGGCCTTGCTTAGCAAGACAAACCCTGGTCCCAAGTGGTAAATCAAGGACTACCTATATATCGTTTTAATGCAAACTTAAAATATTTGCCTGCTTCTTAAAAAAAAAAAAAGACTCTCAAATTGGGAAAATGGGAAAAGGAACCTAACTCAGATTTGATACACGGGTGTGATGCTAGGATCCACCTGTGGGATGATTAAAGTGCCTTTGCTTCTGTAATCTGCAGTTGCTAATCCTCATTGTTGCTAAACTCCATCTAAGATTTATTAATTACATTTCATTATTTTCTTTTTGGGGGACTCTTAATTTGCCAGTTCAGCACAGATTTTATGTCTGGAAGAGTGTTAAGCTAAAGGTGAAGACTTCCCGCCTGTCCAGTTGTGTCTGACTCTAAAAGACGGTGATCAATCATGAAAAATCAATCATGATTAAGAAGGCAGTTACGGGGTTCGATGACCAAAAGGTCTTCCCTTAACTAGAAATATTTTGATGGACAGGACATCACCAGCTAATTTTCAATAATGCTAGTCATGACATCTTGGATGGGGGAATGAGATATGAAGGATCCTAGGAAAAAACTCACTTTAGATGCCTTCTAATCTTAATTTTTGTCATTCATCCTTAAATCCTGGCCATTTTCTGAGTTCATTGATTGATCTAGTCCAGGAAGCTGATAGGATATTTATGGGAATGACCCAGAAAGTCTATGAAGATTCTCAGTCATCCAGGTCATGATTGTCCCAAAGGTGCTTTTTCAAAAGACAACTGGACTTCCTTTGTTTTTGCTTGAAGACATTTCGCTTCTCACTCAAGAAGCTTCATCAGTTCTGACTGTTTGCCTTTTGAAAAAGCATATTTGGGATGAAAATCTTTTGAGATCCATGGTAATCAACTTCAATTTTGAAGAACAATGTTATTTTTCTCCAATCTTGCTTCTTCCCTTTGCACACATATTCCCAATGGATTTATCTGAAATATTACCAGATTCTTCTTCAGTGGAAATTGCAAATATTAATATAAATTTTTTAAATGTTTAATTGGTTTGTGGTTTTTTTAAATTTTTGGGCCAAATTTATATAGATTTTAATTGTTTTTAATATTTGTATTTCATGTTTTTAATTCTGGCTGTGCACTGCCCTGAGTCCTCAGGGAGAAGGGCGGTATATAAATTGAAAATAAAATAAAAATAAAAATAAATAAATAAATATTAACACATTCAACAGAAAGACCAAGTTGTGAGCATTTTAAAAAAAAATCTGATTTTAAAAAAGGTAAATGGGAAAACTTTGAATAAGATGTTTAGAAAATTGGACATAGGATTCCTACATATTCTCTAAGTTGCTGTTTTAAAATCTTGGCCACTTTAAGTTAAGTGGACTTCAACTCCCAGAATTCCCCAGCCAAAAAGTTCATAAAATTGCTATGACTTAATAACTGTCTTGCTTAACAATGGAAATTCTGGTCCCAATTGTGCTCATAAATTGAGGACAATCTAGCATTACAATCTTATGTACTTGTTTCTCAACCTTGGGCACTTGAAGATGAGTGGACTTCAACTCCCAGAATTCTCCATGCTGTCTGAGGAATTCTGGGCATTGAAGTCCATACATCTTCAAGTTGCTAAGGTTGAAATACTAATTGTTGAAATTTTCCATCCATTTTTTTTTTTTAACAAAGCGTGCATAGCCATGAGGGTTTTCTACAGGAATCCTTAAAGGATAGTAGAATGCCACATTTCCCATCGTGGTTGGATCCTGACCATGTTGAAACAGGACTCACCACAAAGTAACCAGGACTAAACTAGGATATTTCCAGAGTTTTAATTTGATGTCTCAAAATGTATTTGATGATCTGCCCTTCCTGTAGTTAAAAAATAGGCACAGAGGTATTTTCAGGATGTGGTTAAAAAAAAAAAATCAAGAGGGTGTCCATATTTTTTGATGCCTATAATAGTGGCTACCATCTTGGTTTGTTTTTTTTTAACCTCATCCTGCAGAAACCCTGCAGTTTCTAATTCTGATCAGTTTTATCAGTCAAAAAATGCACAGTATAAAGGCTTTCTAACCCTGTGACTAGCATAAATTCTCCCAGACACTCTTTTGAGATTTCATTGGCATCGCTTACCTAGAGTTTAAGTTAGCAACAATAAGGACTAGTAACTTGACCAATCAGAACCTCAGGATGCTTTCTTATAAGGCCAATATTGCACGTTCTGTCATTTGCTGCATCAGCAAAGTTGTAATACACATAGCTTGATTTTTATTTTATTTTTATAACTGCAAAAAATATCCTTTTTTGAAAAAAAAAATATCATTAGCTGTGTCCTCACACTGTGTATTTGATTTCTGGCAGTTTTGTGGTTTGGGACCTGGGGTAAACACCATGGTATTAGATTGAATGCAGGCTTAGTTACACTAGAGTAGAAGTGAAATTAATAGTTGACTTCAAGTATGATGAAATCCAGCTAGTGGATATTCGGTTGATAACATTTTATTGGTAATGAGCTGTAATTTAGTTTAAACCTTGATTACAATCACAAAATTATTTTTGAAGGAAAATAAATTGTGAGATTGTTTGTCTCTGTAAATGTTTTTGTACTTGCTGCAAATATATGCAGGAATTTTCTAAGGGGGACTGTTTTATTCCCAAATGCAATGGATCTAAGCAGAAACTCAACTTTGATTAGCAAATCTAAATGATTTAAAAGAAATTCTTCCAAATCCACCAGATGAATATTTGAATGAACAGAGTTGTTGGCAGTTCTTAACAGTGATTTGATTACTGTGATGTAATAAGATCTTTAATAAAAAATTTTCTTTGAACTGTTGAAAAGTGGAGTCATTCTAGAAAAATTCATAGAATTTCATATCCTTGAGTTTCGAGTCAATGTCCTCGCAAATCGGTATTCCAGGAAGGTTTTAAAAAAAATAAAAATCAAGATGGTAGCCACAGCTACACCCGAACTCCTGCCTTATTTTTATACTTTTGTAGCTCTATCCCAGGAGTCTGCAACCTTAAATACTCAAAAGAGCCATTTGGACCTGTTTCCCACAGAAAAGAAAACATCGGGAGCCAAAAAACCTGAGTGGGCGTGGCCAACTCGATGTCACTCACTTCTACCAGTCACATGACCCCCTCCCTAGCCACACCTACCCACCCCATCATTAGGGCAGAGAACCAGTTGTTAAAAAACACCGGGAACCACAAAATCATTTTAACATATCTCTCTCTCCCCTCCCTCACTCCCCCTCTCTCTCTATCTGCCCTGGCCGCTTCTCCATCCCCCACCGTTGCCGTTACCTTCTCAGGCCAGGCGAGGAGTGACTGGAAGGGGAGGGCGAGGGGCGGGGCCAGCCAGTGGTGGGATCACCTGATAGGGAGCCACAGCAGAGGGCCCAAAGAGCCGCATTTGGCTCCGGAGCTGCAGATTGCTGACTCCTGCTCTATCCTGACTTTCAAAGCTCTTCTGAGCTTGTTTGTACCAGTACAAAGTATTATTTTTTTCTTGTGAACCTCTGCTTTTATTAGATTTTTTCCCCTAACATTTATTATCCAATTAATCAAGGTTTGCCTTCCCACCTGCTTTCAGAGAAGATAACCAATCCTAATTTAGAATACAGGTAGTCGTCAACTTAAAACACCTCATTTAGTGACGGTTCAGTTACCACGGCACTGAAAAAAGTGACTTAACGATTGTTTTTCCACATACTTAACAACCATTGCAGCATCCCCATGGTCACGTGATTAAAATTCAGACGCTTGGCAACTGACTCGTATTTATGACGGTCGCAGTGTCACGTGATCCCCTTTTGCGATTTTCTGATGAGCAAAATCAATGGGGAAGCCAGATTCACTCAACAACCATGTTATTAACTGCAGTGATTCACTTAACAACTGTGGCAAAGAAAGGTCGTAAAGTGAGGCAAAGTTCACTTAACAAATATTTCACTTAGCAACAGAAACTTTGGGCTCAATTAAGGTTGTAAGTTGAGGACTACCTGCATTCTCTAAGCTGGTGTTGGATATCTTTGCACAAAAGAAATTAGATAAATGTTGTTTTATGGCTTGTTTTCTGCTTTTTTTATATCTCTGCTCTACTTTTAAGAAGCAGGCAGTGTCTAAATCCAGTAGAGGGGATGGAAAGAATTATCAATTTTATCTGAATGATACTTTCATTTATGATATCTTTACTATAGGAGACCTAAAGCTGTTTTTAATCTTAGGGTTGACCCTTTTTCAGTTGCGACCTTTGCAGTATCCCTGTGATCATGTGATCACAATTCGGACGCTTGGCAATTGGTTCAAATTGATTACGATTGCAGTGTTACATGATTCCTTTTTGCGACCTTCTGACAAGTTAAGCCAATGGGGAAGCCAGATTCACTTAACAACCGGATTACTAAGTATAATCAACTGCAGTGATTCACTTAACAACTATGGCAAGAAAGGTTATAAAATAGAGCAAAATTCACTTAACAAACATCTCACTTAACAACAGAAATTTTGGGCTCAATTGTGGTCATAATTTGAGGACTGGCTGGCTGTACAATGATTACAATACAATACAATGCTTAATGCCAACCTTGTTTTTCCTTGCAAAAAATCAATACAGGTAGTCCTTGATTTATGACCGTAGTTGAGCTTGGAATTACAGTTGTAAATTGTGGAAATCATGATGATGATGATGATGATGATGATGATGATTATTATTATTATTATTATTATTATTATTATTATTATTATTTTATTTCTATACCGCCCTTTTCCCAAAGGACTCAGGGCGGTATACAGCCTATTTAAAAACACAAACAAAACATTGATTAAAAATTTAAAATAATTAAATAAATTTGGCTCAATTTAAAACCCCACAAATTTAAAATACCCCAATTTAAAATTATTATGTTGATAGCCCGGCCTGGCGGAACAACAGGGTCTTCAGTGCGCAGCGAAATACCCGAAGGTCGGAGATCTTACGTATTTCCGGGAGGTAGCTCATTCCAGAGGGCTGGGGCTCCCACAGAGAAGGCCCTCCCCCTGGGTGTCGCCAGCCGACATAACTTGGCCGATGGCACCCTGAGGAGACCCCCCCTGTGGGAGCGAACTGGCCGGTGGGAGGCTATTGGTGGCAGAAGTCGGTCTCGAAGGTACCCGGGTCCTATGCCATGGAGCGCTTTAAAGGTGGTGACCAACACCTTGAATCGCACCCAGACCACCACTGGGAGCCAGTGCAGCTCGTGCAGGAGAGGTGTCACATGGGCACAACGGGTTGCGCCCATAACCACCCACGTGGCCGCATTCTAGACCAGTTGGAGCCTCCGAGTGCTCTTCAAGGGGAGCCCCATGTAGAGAGCATTACAGTAGTCCAGTCGGGAAGTAACAAGGGCATGAGTGACCGTGCGCAAGGCGTCCTGGTCCAGAAAGGGCTGCAACTGGCCAATCAAGCGAACCTGATAAAAGATCCCCCTGGCCATGGCCGTCATATGCTCTTCTAAAGACAGCCGTGCATCCAGGAGGACACCCAGATTGCGAGCCCTCTCTGTGGGGGGCAAAGATTCACCCCCAATAGTCAGGAATGGCACCTGATGACTATATCGGGACGCCGGTAGCCACAGCCACTCGGTCTTGGACGGGTTGAATCTGAGCCTGTTCCATCCAGACCCGCACAGCCTCCAGGCAGCGAGACATCACATCAAGAGCATCATTGGGGTGGAGATGTACAGCTGAGTATCATCAGCGTACAGATGACACTTTACCCCAAAACCACGGATGATCTCACCCAGCGGCTTCACATAAATGTTGAACAGAAGGGTGAGAGGATCGATCCTTGCGGGACTCCCCATGCGAGGTCGACTGCCTCGAGGTCGACCTCTGCCCCCCTGCCAACACAAACTGCGAGCGGTCAGAGAGGAAGGAGGAGAACCACCGCAGGACGGTGCCCCCTATTCCTAACCCCCTCAACTGCTGCAGCATGATACCATGGTCGATGGTATCAAAAGCCGCTGAGAGATCTAATAGGACTAGGACAGAGGAGCAACCCCTGTCCCGAGCCCTCCAGAGATCATCCACCAACGCGACCAATGCCGTTTCTGTGCTGTGCCCCTGCCTGAAGCCCGACTGGTACGGGTTTAGATAGATAGCTTCATCCAGGTGCCGGGGAAGCTGTCCTGACACCACCCTCTCAACAACTTTTGCCACAAAATGAAGGTTGGAGACTGAACGGTAGTTGGCTAATTCAGCCGGATCCAGGGAGGGCTTCTTGAGGAGGGGCCTCACCACCGCCTCTTTCAAGGCGGCAGGAAAGGCACCCCCACTCAGAGAAGCACTTATAATTCCCTGGAGCCAGCCTCGTGTAACCTCCTGGGAGGCCAGTACCAACCAGGAGGGACACGGGTCCAATAAACACGTGGCAGCACTAATCTTACCCAGGACCCTGTCCACATCCTCGGGAGCCACAGGATCAAACTCCTCCCAGATAATATTCTCAAGACCTACCCTCGTCTCCTCCCCTGGACTCATCCAATCGGAGTCCAAGCCATCCTGAATCCGAGCGACTTTATCATGCAGGAATTGCACAAACTCCTCAGCTCGACCCTGCAAGGGATCTTCCCGCACTCCCCCCCCCCGAAGAAGGGAGTGGGTCACCCTAAACAGGGCGGCTGGGCGGTTCTCTGCAGATGCGATAAGAGTGGAAAAATAGTTAGATTTCGCCACTTTTATCGCCACTAGGTAGGTCTTGATATAAGACCTCACCTGTGTCCGGTCGGAATCAGAATGACTAGTCCTCCAAATGCTCTCTAGGCGTCTTTTCCGACGCTTCATCTCTCTCAGCTCCTCAGAGAACCAAGGAGCCAATTGAGATCGGCATCGGGTCAGAGGCCGCAAAGGCACGACGTGATCCAAAGCTCCGGCGGCCGCACTCTCCCAAGCGGCCACCAGCTCTTCAGTCGATTCGTGTGTCAGGGTCTCAGGAAACAGCCCAAGCTCCGTCAGGAACCTTTCGGGATCCATCAGGCGCCTGGGACGGAACCATTTGGTCGGTTCCGTCCGATCAAACTGATCTTATGATAGTTTTTTGTAGCCATTGTAATGTTTTGTTATGCTGTTGTAACCACAGCATAAACAAATGCTGCGGTTGTAAATCAAACTTGTTAATTGTTAAGCAAACCCATTGTTTGTAATGGCCTTTTTATTTTTATTTTTTGCCAGAAAAAAAATATCATGACTTGCAATTGTGTGATCACAAACAATTATAAAGGCACACTGATTGCCAAGCACCCAAAATGTGCTGGGTGGGGGCAGATATTGGAACTTCAAATTTCAGTCATCTTTTTGGAGTCCACCTTAACTTCAAATGGTTGCTAATCAACCAGTTGTTAAGCAAGGATTAGCTGTAAATGAATTGCACTCAGTAAGGGAGCTAGGAAATAATATTATCAGGAGTAAATCTGTTATCCGTTTCATTCCATGCAGAAATTGACCCATAATCTATTTCCACTTAACCATTGAAATGTTAGTTTTTTAAAGCAAATTCAGATGCCTCCTCAAACATCTTATCTTATTACTCTGAATTTTCTAATGGGGAAAATAAAAAAAGAATAGAAAATGAGGACCAGTTTTAAAATCCTCGAGATGTCAAGGTTAAATAGATAATGTACATAATTTCTCACATCATTGGGATCTGGAAGTGCTCTGCTTTGGCCAAAGTGCTCGCTAGCTTAATTGCATCGTGGTTCATTTGCAGTTTGATGGTAACAGAAACGTAAGACAGCAAGAGGTTGGTTTTTTTTTTCCATAACGCACCAACAAGGCTACTTTATAATAGATAATTTATC